AAAAAAAAAAAAAAGAAAAAAGAAAAAAGAAATATCTGAAAACATACATGTTAGTAATATCTTTGCTTACCATTTCCAATGGCCGCAACATCCCACCCAACTCCTTTCACCTTTCGGGTCTTGCTCATTGCTGTTCTCCTATTGCCAGCACACTGAGAATCAAACAAAATCAACAATAAAGGACTCAAATACACTAAATGGATTAAATAAACAAAATAATAATAACAATAATTTAGAAATTAAAAGGAAAAAGTACAAATTACCTGCAGAGTAGCTGTTACAGTATACTTCGGGAGCTTCCTGTTTCTCATAAGACAAAACATTCTTATTGCAAGAAATCTTAATCTTTACATGATTACGCAAACTGATATTCACTCACCAGAAATCTTTCATAAACAGCTCTTTGGTGTTTCCAATTAGTCCAGCAATCGAAACACTGTATCTGGTCAGCCAGAACACATTCCATGAGAAATAAATCAAACACTCCATACCAAGAAATACATAACATTTGGTTAGAGAAAACTGAAGATCAAGGATAAACAGACTTGTCTAGATCATCCACTACTGGAATCGGTCCATGATTCCTCTTGTAGAAGAAATCCACTGGTGTAACATAAGACGAAACCAAATCATCACGGCGTGGCTCCGCATTGAATGGTTCCTGAATCAAAAGATGGTGATCAACCAACATTTTCATATGGCGATCAAAGAATCATTTTCATTCTTTTGTCCTTTGACAATCAATAAAATGTACAACTTCTCGTTTATCTTTCTTTCGCCATCTTTCACGAGTAATGTCTTCTCAATAAATAAAAAATGAAACAACTAAACTAAAAATTATCCAGTAAATTTGCACGTGTATCATAGCTCAAAAATCAAAATATAGCACTACAAGTATCCATTTCCCATAAAATCCAGTAGCCATAACCTCTGCTCAATTCACAGTAGAACTAAAGTACTGCATAATGCCATAATGATAAAGAAAAAACTAATAAAAAAATCGGAGAACTGAAATCACGCATACAGAACATGTAACCACAAGAACACTACACTTCTATGCAGACGAACGCAGATAAACAGAGGAGAGAGAGGGGGAGAGAGAGAGAGATCGCAGAAAATTGGGCAAAATCCATGAATAAAAATAATAAATAAATAAATTAATAAGAGTGAGCTGCTAACCTTGGAATTGACAACGAGAGCGGAATTTCGCGGCGGCTCAAGCTTGTAATCGGAAGGTCCCCTGAGTCCGGGCATTTTTCCGATCGCGCCAAAAATTCTCTCCAAATCGGCTGTGCGCGAGAGTGAGGAGGACGATGGCAAATTCCACTTTATCCAAGTGCGGTTGAGAAGGTACGAAACAACGGCGTCGTTATAAGCAAAGACTAAAAAGTAAAAACAAAACCAGCTTTATATTATTGAAGTTGTCCCGATAGAGTGGTGTGATTGAAATGAACGGTGATAAAGGCGGTTGTGAGATTAGCATTCCTCACCTACGTGTGTGAGAGAGAGACCAGCCAATAAGTTGCAAATTGAGTTTTTAACACCTTTTTGGCCTTTTGTATGTATTGTGTGCCAGTTTTACTTTTTGTGATTGATTTGTGAATGGGCAGCATAGTTTATTTGGTCAACTATAATATAGTAAAAGAGTAATGCTCCCCTATTTACGGTGGGCACATTTTAAAAACTTAAAATGTTATATAATATTGTGATTGTTCATAGCGATGTTGAGCAAAAATCTTGAAAAACAATGTAATTTTGTGCAACTACAATTAAGCATGGAACTTGGCTCCAATCATTTCCATTGCTACTTTTGATATATAATATATATTCGTTTGACTATATAAAACTCGACAGGAACAAAATATTTATTCAACATTCATGGATGGGATGGGTTGTTAAAATAACAAACTTTACAAATTATTCAAGATCAATTTCTTTGCATGACGTTGTAATTTGAGAGTTGAGAGATAGCGAGAAACAAGAAAGTGTAGATTACCAACATGATCTTGACTTTCATTCAAGACTATATTCGTCAAAATTGAGTCAACATCAAATCCGCAACCTTAAAAAGATGACGAATAAAATAAAAATCGTGTGTGTGATGCTTGCCATAGGCCTGTTTATTTTTCTTAATCCATTAAAATCTAACTGGGCCTGCTGGGCCAGATACATATTACTTGGACCCTTTACAGTCTCACCGGCAAACATGGCAAGCTGCCGCCTACATTGTCTCCGGCGGAGCAAGTGTCATTCTCTCCGCGGATGATGCAATCAGCAAATTCGATCCTATCACCTCTCTGCTGATGATGCAATCGGCAAATTCGATCCTATCACCGTGTTTTTTTACCATCGGATCAATTCGTGTGTTGATCACATGGTAAAATATCCAATGATGGCTCTCGAATTTTTAATTCAACCGAACAAAAAAAATGATTAAATTTTATTCATTATTTGATTTATTATTATTATTATTGTAGTTGTTGTTGTTGTTTGGAATCCATGCATCTAAGGAAATTTGTTGGTCAACACTCAAAAGTTACTGGCAAAGTAAAAGGATAAATATAGCAAGTAACCACGTGAAAGTCTTCAACTCCCCTGTCTTCTTACATCACATATGATTCCCAGTTTGAATCAAATTTTATTGCAGCACTCTGAAAGTCCCATAAAACTTCTCCTCTCTGCCTGAAAACTCCATCTTCACACATAACATGAAGCCACAGGCAATTTTCATCTCATGCATCTTGCTGGCTGCTGTCTGTGCAGGTAAACCAGCAAAACTAAGTCCATTAAATTCTTCCAATTTCACACCTTTTTTTTTTTCATTTTCTTGTCTTGCAGATATTTTACAGAATCCAGATTTCGAGCTCCCGCCATCCACCTGGAACACGACTTCGGCATTCTTCACCTTGAACTCAAGCAGCACCAACCTGCCAGGATGGACATTTGAAGGCACTGTACAGTACGCAACTGCAGGGGATGATCTGTCTCTACCCGAAAACGGCCATGCTATGTTGTTAGGACAAGATGGTAAAATCAACCAGACTTTCACAGCAAACAATGAAGGGCGAATGCGGTACCTTTTGACTTTCACGCTGTCCAGACGGGCTCTAAACTGCAGCGCTAACGCGAGCCTTGTGATTCCGGCACCTGATAGTTCTGCAGAATTTACCTTGAGCGGTAAATATGGTAGGGAGTTGTGGGAAGATTACGGACACCAGATAGGAAGCTGGGGAGATGGCGAAGCCGTAAATTTGGTGATCGAAAGTCGAGCAGACAATGAGGATGAAAGCTCGACGTGTTGGCCAGTGGTCGATGATCTCAATTTGGTCACCGTTGGATTAGTGAATCAAGAGAATGGTAAGAACTAAGAAGAGATTATTTTGATTTTGTTCTTGATTTTCTTTGCTGATTCCAGTTATTCAAAACCTGTTTCTTTTGCTTTTATTTCTAATCTTTATTTTCTCATCACTCACTTACCAAAGGTAATCTGCTGCTGAATGGTGGTTCTGAGGTGGGCCCGCGTTTCCCAAAATTCCCGAACAACGGCATTTTACTGAATTCAGAACCGAGCCTCACCGAGTCCGCACTTCCGCAATGGATAGTAACAGGAACCATAAAATACATAGAAACGAAAAATTACCACGTCCCACTAGGCAATGCTGCTGTTCAATTCGTGTTGGGAACCTCTTCAGACATACAGACAGCACAAGAACTCAGTCGAGAAACTAACTACAACCTGGAATTTTCACTGGGTGAAGCAAACCAGTCCTGCTCGGGTGATTTTACAGTTGGGGTCGTGGCTGGATCATCTTCTCAGAATTTTACTATCCACAGCAATGGAAATGGGCTGGCCCAGAAATACTCACTGGATTTTCAAGGGGCTGGAGCAGGCCCAACCCCAATAGGCTTCGAGAGCTACAGCACAGGACTCGGAAAAGATGGAGTGTTTTGCGGTCCGGTTATCGATGGTGTTGTTTTGCGCGTCTCTGGTGAGTGCAAATTGAATGGTTGTTTGTTCGTAATCTTGCTTTTCTGGCCCTTGTGGCGATTGTAGTCGAGCACTGGTAGCTAAAGGGATTGAGTAGCCATTGTTTGCCAGGATTCGATGAAATATTATTTCATTGCTGGAGAAAAGGCAAAAATGATTGGGTTCCTCTATGTATCTTCATAATAATTGACATAATTGATCATTTTCAATAATTTTACACATATGACATCCCCTATATAAGATAAATAATCACAAGTTGTATATACAGTTTAGTATTACATACATACAAATAACATTGTTAGATAACTTGACTAACCTCCACGGTGGAGGCTCCACCTGAGCACATGTAGTATTCTCACCTTCACAAATTTAATAACTTACACATATTTGGTCGAGTGACGCGAATAAACACAGGCGATGAAGCCACATGCTTATCAATCTCCATTCAAGCAGCTGCAACATTTTAGTATTAAGCAGCGAAGAGGGATTTAGAAACTTTTTCTTGTACCTATACAAAAGAAAGAGGGAAATCTTTCGAAATTTCCATGCATTGGCGTATAATGCTAAACGCCATTAACAGAGTTCACCAACTTCACACGCTTAAGAAGAGATTGATACTCTGAACTCCTGGACCATTCATCAATCTCACGAGCACGAAGAACCGGAAGAGGGTGCGAAAGTTGCCTCGTTTGAGCATTCCTGAGAGATATATAAATTAATCACACTCGTTTGAGATATTTTTCACAGCTCAATCCATTGATCATATATTATTCATCCAGAGTTCATGACATGAGAAATCTTGGTTACCTTATATACCACCCGATTGGGCTAGCAGAAGCCTTTTCATAAGAGCGAGCTTGCTCCAAGAAGGCATCAATGTTTAATTGGTCGGCCATAGAGGGACAGCCACCCGCTAATTTCATCAGAACTGATATGACAACCTCTTGTGGGGGCCATAAGAGAGAATGATTACACAATGTTTTTAATTATAGCTGAGCGCATAGAACAAAAAAGATTTATATATTCTAAATTGCATCTTACCTTAGGGTCTCGAGCAACAACAAGTGCTGCCCTATCACACGTGAGTTCAGCAGCTCGAATCCAACGGAAGAGTTGCTCTTCTAGTGTCTGAGCAATCAAACTGCCGAGCCCTACACGGAATAGAGTGGATATATGAAGTCTTTGCAACATTTAAAAAACAAGATTGTAAGTTTTCAGCTGCTAATAATCACATCTTAATGCTTTCAAATGCAAAATTTTGCTTCTGATTCCACTTTATTTAATCAACATTTAAAGGCATGCTTATGTGTACTTTCAATATTGATTCTTTTTTTATTTGAACTTTAAAGACAAGAAAAATAATTTTCGCCTTTTTCCACCAAACACTCTCGCTCGACTTAATCAACTTTTCAGATCATTCTTTTTACTTTCCTTCCAAAGGATCATTCAATTTCTATTTCTCCCCTAATTTACCTTCAGCTCAATGAATAAATTCTCCTACACAAGAATAAATTCTGTATCTGAAGAATGAAAGGTGAGATCCCTACCAGGGACAGAATACGCTCCGAGAGTAAGAATATTAGCAAACGTGAGCCACACACCGTGATCACACTTCAAATGACCCAATTCATGAGCTAAAACAGCCTGCATGTGAATACAGAGAAAAAAAGGCAACATGAACCGAGTACAACTTGAACACCCATGCTCCATAATATTTCAAAATTTCAAGAACCAAATTAGATAAAACTGAGAACCTGCAACTCTTTTCTTGACAAAAGTTCAACCAAGCTCGTATGAACAACAACAAACGGTTTCTTTCCACTGATTGCCAAAGTGTATGCATTGGGAATGGGACTTTGGCGTAAATACAAGTCAGGGGCCTCAATATTTAGTAAACCCGCAGCCTCAATCAGCAATTTATGAAGCTCAGGAAGCTACAGAACAAGCCAAAGCCACTCAAATACACTAACAAAGCTATAGAAGCACAGCTTTTTTTTTTCTCCTAAAAATATACCTGATTCTCGGAAACAAGAACGGATGTCCCTATATTCTCCAGAAGCATAACTTGCTCAGCTACAGTTCCTGCAGCCCACATACCCATAAATGCACCAAAGGTCAATTCATTGTCAGGCCATGAAGTAAATTTCAATCAACAGTGTACACAAGAAAAATTACAATTTACGCACGTAGATATTTTTCATATTTACAGGTAAAACTCCAAGGAATTAAAGGATTAACACAAGCTGCTATTTATTTACAGCACCTAATAAAGCTTTTCCGATTTCGTTTAGACCTGGAATTGCTCTCAGGATCAACGTATTCTGCAATCACAAGAAAAGGGGTATGTAAATCAAACAAATTAAAAAAAAAAAAAAATCGAGAAAATCAGTAAAAATATTGAATTACTTGTCTATCCAGAGGATGTCTAATGTCATCTGCATCCAAATCGCGAATAGAAACAGATGAAGCACCGCGACAGACAAGGTTTCGGCTCCTCCGATGTTTGCTCCCCAGAGGCTTAAGCTTAGCTCCGCCGGTAAAGCTTATTAGCGGCTTGTTCGCGGTGCTGAAGCAGAGGCTAATCGGAGAGGCTTTTGCCGAAAAGTTGACTGACGGAGCATAAACTGCGGCCATTGAGAAAAGAGGAAGAGAGAGGTGTGTGGAGGCGCACGTTAGCGTGTGAACGACTGAACGCACAGAGCTCTGCACCAGAACGGCACCATCTAGTGTACAAAACGACACGACGTAGCGAAGTTTTGCTTGGTTTTGATTCCATGTTTCGAGCCACAGCCGTATTCCCTGGTAATGATTTGCCGCCACTTCGTTTTCTGTGGACTTTCGTTAATACTAGTATGTAACAATCGCAGGGCACAGAAATATCAAATTAATTATTTTTATATGTTTATTTCGTCTAACAAATAATAGAATTACAATCTACGTTTTACATATTTTAATCAATTTTATGTCTAACAAACGTTATATTTATTTTTCACATCTTTTAATTAATATTGTTTTTTTTGTCATAACATTAAATATGAGGATGTTAGAGGTACCTTGTAAATTAATTAATATACTATCTCATTAACACTTTTATATTAATATAAATTTAGTTTTAGTATAAATACTCCTTAACATAAGAAAAAATAATAGTTTTACTTATTGTTCACTATATAATACTTAATTATTATTTTGTTATAAACCTTATTGTCATATAATATCATTATTATTTATAAAAGTTATAAAATTGTACGTCTTCTTTTATGTAGTGAAAAATATTTATTGCCTTAGTATATTTATTTAAGTAATCAATTAAAAACATTTAAATAAATTTAAAATTAAATAGTGTATAAATATTTTACAAAATATACACACATATTTTTTTTATAATTTAATTTATATACTAGTTAAAAAACTTTGATTTAAAAAATGTCAAAAACTCAATACTTTTTATAATAAGAGTTTTTCTAATTCCCATTATAAAGATTTATAGATTATTTAACATACTCTGCAATGTAAATTATTTTTAAGAATTTCATTATATAAATAAATAAATAAATGACAAAAAAAATTATTATTATGGTTATCAATAATATACAAATAAATCCTAATGAACAGTTAATATATTTTGATTTTAGTTTTTAACCATTAGTAAAATTATTTAATATATATGTTCATTATTTATTAAAAAAATATGCATTAAATGATTCTAAAACTTTTTACTACTATTTTTAGTAAATGATTATTCTTATTTATAGATATAGATATAAATATAGATATGTGAGCAGCAAAATTATGCAACTGGATATTTCTAGTCATTTTGTAATTACTTCGTAATGATTATCAATTATCATAATTATAAAATATAATTTTTTGGTGGTTCAACGTTATACTACTCTATATTATAAAAAATACTTATATGATTAATTTCATATTTCTGTTATTGTTATTTTAGATTATATCATTTTTAAATAAAGCGTGTATATTTTGAGGAAATAGTATATATAGGACATATGGTTTGGCGGCTAACAAAAAATGAATCATTTCTTATAAAATATTCGACCCTACATAGTGATAGTGTTTTTCACCGAATGAGTGCACATACTTATACTAATAGTACTTTTTACCGAATGAACGTACATACTTACACAAGTGTATGTTGATCAAACAAGTTTGTGTTTATTCAACATAGTGATAGTTTGCTCGTATTTTGAGCAGCTTCCGTTTGAGGTCGTCTTCAGCCTCACTCTTTCCCAATCGGTTGAACACCGACCAGTTGATACGACGAGCATGAGAGTTTGTGACCGAGTGGCTCTCGTTGGTCTCTTCCTGGTCCGTCCACGTGGTTGTCTTCTCTCTTCAGTTTCCAACAGTATTTTCACACGAACGTGAGGTCTTCTCCTGCGTCGCCGGTCCTTTGTCCTTCTATGTGGTGGTGAGATCCTTTTTTGCTGGAGTCTTTGGTGCTTGTGACGTCGATGGTCGGATTTGAGTCATGAGGTTCGAAAAATCCTTTGACAAAACTCGGGGGTTTTAAACATTGTGGTGTAGTCGGTCGTCGCGGGTTGGTGATCTCATCGGGTTCTTCCTTCTTCCGATGATTCACGTTGCTCTCTTCGGTTTGATGATGATGTGGTTGTCATTGACATGTTGCTCTTCCTCTAGCGCCAATTGTTGATGTATGAAATTATCAACGATGTTGTTCAAACTGCGCACTAAAATATGTACTCGGTTCAGTATGCACGAATAGAAATGTATAGGATGCTGATCGGATGGCTCGTATGTCAGTGACTTTTTATTATCATTAATGAGAGAAGAATATTCTCATTACATTTAATCAGTAAACCCCTCTTCACGGAGTGCATTTTCCAGTTTGATTTCCAATGTTACCTCTTTTCTCTTGTATAGGGAATGTGAGGACTTATTACAATCCTCTTTGGATTTTTTTTTACAAGATATATCCTAAAGATATCTAGTCACATCGCATTTAATGCCTTGTACTACACAATCTAATTTCAACACAGGTGATTAATCCAGTTTGCGATATGTGTCCCTGCTTGTTGAGCGCCATTAGATGGACGATTGACAGATCCCTCATCATTTAATGCGTATCGTACGGTAATGTCAGTCGAACACTCCATCCCTTATACGTTTGTTCCTCCTTCGTATTCGATACATTTTTTGTCGTTTTATTCATCTTTGTTGGCACGAACACAGGTAGGTAATTTATTTGACTTTAATTCCTTATGTCTTGTCTATACACCGTACTTTAAGGTTTCTATACATATTATTATTATTATTATTATTATTATTATATTATTATTATTATTGTTATTATTATTATTATTATTATTATTATTATTATTATTATTTTGTAACACATATATGTGCACACTAGTGTGTGACCCGTGCGATGCAAAGGAAAACAATATTACGATTATATTACAAATTAAATATATAAATAACATTAATCATGATTTATCTATTATTAAATTAAATCGGTTAGACACTGTCTGATCAGATGGACCGAGAATCGATTTATAAGCAGTCTAATTTGCTTGAATAAAATATTTGCTATCAAATCTGTCAACACCAGTCGATTGAACTTGTAGAATCAATGGGTTTTTTTTCAATAAATTTTGTCACACTTAAAATTATTTTAAATAATCCAAGCATCATTTAATGCTGCTTGAATTTTTTGAAAAAAAAAAGTTACTAAGAATGGTAGATAATTAATGTTGACTGAAATTTGACCTGTCATTTTTTTTTAAAAATGGCAATTCTCGTTATATATATAGATGATTAATTTGGCGTATTTTTTCCAGCAAAATTATAGGGAAAACAATTAAAAATTCCGAGCCCGTCGAAATATGGATACAGACGCCGTGTCGAAGGCGTTCGTGGCCCACTACTACATGACGTTCGACTCCAATCGAGCCGGGCTTGCCAATCTATACCAAGAGGGCTCGATGCTGACGTTCGAGGGTGAGAAGATCATGGGATCCCAAAACATCGTGGCCAAGCTCACCCAGGGACGAA